TGTCCCTGTCATTTGTAGCCTTTGTTACCATAAGGACTCTAGTTTTCCATTTATATGTTTACGTACCAGCCTACCGGCTTAAAAATGTAAGCTTTTAACACTGCTCTCTCTGTTCTGTATCCTTCCCATGAAAAGTGGAGTTGGGTTGCGGCACAGGAGAGAAATTCAGAAGGGGAATATTGAAGTAATGACTGCAGTAGGAGAAGAGGGAACCTATTTCCTGGCCACAGGCGCTGGCGCCCTGGACCACAGGGCTGGCAGCTTCTCCGGGTGGCTGCAGCCTGGGTCCTCAAGGCAGGTAACTTGTCCGTCTCCTGGGCTGCAGCCTGCTGCAGGCGCTGGTGCCTGGACCGCAGGTGGGCGGCTTCTCCGTGTCCCTGTGATGCAGTGTGGGCGGCTTCTCCGGCGGCTGCGGCCTGGGGTCACGGGCAGGCGGCTTCTTCGTCTCCCAGGCCAGCCAGCCTCAGGTGCTAGAGCCGGACTTCACTGTCTCCCCTGACTTCTGCGTCTCCAATAGGCCTGGAGCGGCCAGAGCCAGGATGCTTGCATGGTAGCTGTGGCTGCAACGCAAGTATCCCGGCTCTGGCCTCCGCCATCTTTGTTGGGTTAATGTGCATATCTCTGGATGGGTTGGTGGGCGTGGCTCATGGGCATGGCTGGTGGGCGTGGCTTGGGCGTAGCAAAGGTACGGTCAATTTGCATGTTTGTCTATTATTAGGTAAGATGGGTTATGATATGAATTAAGGTCTGATCCCAAAATCCATACTCTTTCCATGTGGCATGGTGCTAGTATCTGTGCTGCGTTTATTCATTGGGTGAATGTTTGACAGGTGTCTGCTGTGTGGGTTCCAGCTGTCATCTGGATACATTGTTCCTCTCTAGTGGCTTTCCTTCCTGGCTGGTGAGCCTTGCTGTCCTGGTTCTCTGAGCAGACACTCATTAGTCTTCTGGGCTGATTCTGATTCTTTCTGTCTTCTGAACCATTGCTACCTGCCTTGTTTGCATTTGACGTGTGGTGACCTCACTCAGGTGTCCACAGAGCCAGATTTCCAGTCGGGCTGCTCGGTCCTGTTTGGCCCCCAGGCCTGGCACAGACACTTGTTTGAAGTGCCCCAGCTACATAGCTCCTGCCCTTTGCCCCTTGCAACCTGGTTCCAATCTTCTGTCTCTGAACTCTCCAGGGCTCCGGTGGCCTGTTGAGTCAATGGGCTTCCTCTGGGGTTTCTCCCACGCCAATTCTTTCTCACCAGTTTCCATGATGTTACGCATTCCTGGTTTTCCACCTTCATTTCTAACAGCTCTTTTCTCTTTTCCTTTGATCAGATTCCCCTTTTTCCTAAGCCTATGGGTTACGAAAAATTGTAGGCTTTTCTCCAAGACTTAGTTTCAACCTCCCTACCTGTTTTCTGTGTTTCTAACAGTTCACCCATTCTCAAGGCTCTAGGAAAGTGTAGACACAGCCAGCATGTTAACATCACGGTTTACAGACCACCTTTACATTCCTAGTTTCAGTTCTCTTCCTCGCTCTAGTACATGAGTGTCTCCAAAATCTACAACCTCAGTTCCAGGGGCTCTTGCTATCCTTAGTAGTTTCTTCTGATGCCTGTTCAGGTTAAATCTCATTCTGTTCCTTTTTCTGGAAGCCCAGGCACATCCCAGCCTTTCCCCGTGGCACCTGGGACAGCACTGCACTGTGCATTCACATGGCCGTCTCTCTCCACGGGCTGTGAGCTCTAGGTCATGGGTCTTCTTCTCCCCGTGCCCACACAGGGTCTGGCCATGATGTGTGTTGAGTCGCCTATGAGTAATTGAAGAGCTTTCCCGATTTTCTGATCCTGAATTCTAAGTCACTTTGAATTCTCTTGTAAATCTTGTTAGTCCTCAGAGAGAAGGCAGGGGAGGGTGGGTGGGAAAGCTGGAAGAGGTTAAAGGGGGGGGGTGGGGAGGAGGACCTATGTAATACTTCCAACAATAAAGATTTTTAAAATAAACCCTGTTTGTCACCAAGTCGTATTGGTTCTTTATGTTATAGCTCTCAGTGTCCCTTCTCTTCTGTTGCTGTCACTACACTCACTCAGACTCTTGCACTTTCTTTTTTTTTTTAAGTTGTGAGCAGTCATCTGATTTATAAAAAGATGTAACAAAATTTTATTTTATTTTTATTTTTTTAAAATATATTTTATTGATTTTTTAGAGAGAGGAAGGGAGAGGGACAGTTAGAAACATCGATGATGCCGAAACCGGTTTGGCTCAGTGGATAGAGCATCGGCCTGCGGACTGAAAGGTCCCAGGGTCGATTCCGGTCAAGGGCCTGTACCTGGGTTGGGGGCACATCCCGAGTAGGAGATGTGCAGGAGGCAGCTGATCGATGTTTCTCGCTCAGCTCATCGATGTTTCTAACTGAACCTGGGACCTTTCAGTCCGCAGGCCGATGCTCTATCCACTGAGCCAAACCGGTTAGGGCTGTAACAAAATTTTAAATGATACAAAATATCATTTTCAAAACAACATCAACATCATTTTCAAAACACCACCAAAAAGTGAGTGTATTTAACTGTTCCCAGCTCATAACAGCAAATGTGTGAGCGGAGCAATAACGCATGTTGTAGCATGTTTACTAAACCTGCAACAGAGAAAGTTGGTTAAAGGAAAGCAGAGAAACTGTCTTTTAAGTATTAGAACCCGGGGTTCCATAATCATCTGCATCCGCTCAGTGTTGCACCTGTGGTTAGAAATGTACATGACGGGAACCCCAGGGATCTTCCTGATTCTTCGTCTAAGGTCCCGGTCAACTGTGGCCACAATATAACACTCGTGCTGAGTTACTCTCTGTACCGAGCAGTCATCTGCATAGGTTCCTGGGTGTGTGCACGGTAATTGTTCAGAGCTTGGATCCTTGGCGATCCTTAGAGCCACTCGATACTTCTGCCCTAATTTCTCAGTTTCAACCATTACAGTCAGTTATACAAGGGCTACACCTGGCATAGAGACATCCATCATTGACTGCACTGAGTCCAGTTTGGCCTTAATGGGAAAGTTGATAAAGTTAGTATCCACCTGGATGTGGTAAGGTGGGCCCAGCTGTGCGTTATTCGGAAGAATACACAGGAGGGGTGTTGGGGGGCTTCTCTTTCTTGGAGTGCACTGGGATCTTTCTTTTCTTTCTTTTCAGGTTTTAATCTAGCCTTTTCTTTAAGCCTCTGATCTCGGAGGCTAAGCATTCGCTTCATGGTCGCATACTCCCTTGTTTTCTTTTGCTTCCCATGTTCACGCGCACTCTTGTTTCTTCCGGAAACACCCTCTTGCACTTTCTACAATGACAATGTCCCCTTCTTGGTCTCCCTGTTCTGACTCTCTTGTCAGATAAGTCCTGTGTTTCCCCAGTAAGAATAATCTAAAAATGTTACTTCTATGAGGGTCAGGTTTAAATTCCTTATTCTGATACATCTCTTGCAACTTCCTCATCATAAAACAGCATTCTTTCATCATTGTTCTCTTATCACCAGATGCCAGATAGACCCGTCTTTCCCTCCTCCTTTCCTTCCACCATTTGTCTAACTTTTACCCTTTTTAAAAAATATGTTCTTATTGATTTTTTTCTAAACATATTTTCATTGATTTCAGAGAGGCAGGGAGAGGAAGAGAGAGACAGAAGCATCAATGAGAGAAAATCATTGATTGGCTGCCTCCTACACACCCCACAATGGGGACTGAGCCCACAACCTAGCATGTGCCAACTGGGAATTGAACCGTGACCTCCTGGTTCACAGGTCAACACTCAACCACTAGCCACCATTATTGACTTTTTATAGAGAGAGGAAGGGAGAGGGGGAAATAGACACATCAAGCACTTGCCTCCCATCCGTACCCTGACCGGGACTAAACTTGCAACCTGAGTTTACTCTTCTTTTAAGATCCATCCCAGACCCCATTTTTCCCAGGAAGCTTTGGTCCTGAACAATGTCTTTCTTCTTTGACCTGTTACTGTTTATTATTATACTAGAGCCTGGTACACAGATTCGTGCACCAATTCGTGCACTGGTGGGATCCCTCGGCCTGGCCTGAGGGAATTGGCCCCAAACCAGCTCTCTGACATCCCTCAAGGAGTCCTGGATTCTGAGAGGGGGCAGGCCAGGCCTATCGGGATGGAGAGGGATCACGGGAAAGCTCCAGGGCGTGCCCAGCCCATCTGGCCCA